CCTCCCGCCGTTAATCACCAAACCCAACACCACTACTCTTCTACACTAGGATAATCATACAACCGTCGATAATCTGACAAATATTTTGCCTCTAAACCAAGCACTGTTAGTAAAAATTGACTCAACAATGGCTGATCACACTTAGCAGTTTTAATTGATTAATAATAATAATAATAAGTTCTTTATTTCCAAGAGGTTGTACATCAAGATATTTTCTTAACATTTAATAAAGCTACATTGGTACATATACCTCAAAACATAGCATCTATAGCCGAACTAGGAGACCTGTGCATCAGCTGTCAACGCCATATCCCCACCGTTAATTAATAAAAATATTAGGATGCAAGCAAAAGTTAAATGCAAGCAAAAATTAAAGTTACAATGAAATTACATAATTGGATCACATATTATGTTTATATACTATTTTACCACTTATTACTTATACCAAGGTACAAACAAGATAATAATTTATACTACTTATGTCGTTCCTTTCTCATAAGATGTGTAATGTATGACTGTAAGGAGTAATTGTGTTATGAGTGTAATGTGTATGAGCAGTTATGGGAGAGGAGCATGTAAAATGTGTGTGTATACATGTGTGTATGTGTGTGTGTGTGTGTGTGTGTTTGCTCATGTACGTGTATGTGTCTGGTTATTATGATTTTATACGGGTAGTTTTACGGACAACAGTTATATAAGAATTTATGTTTAATTCTGAATACTAAGAAGGTTTTCAGTTTCATTATAAGTTAATTTTTGTAGGTAATTATGTACGGTTTTTTTTTACAATTTATTTTACTAAGGTGGTAAATATCTAATTATTTATTTACTATATAAGTGTCCCAAAAAGCAAAGAATTTTTTATAAAAGAAAAGTGTATCTACTAAAAATTTGGTTAAAGTTCGGTTGTATAACAATAAGCTATGTTGTTTCTGAATGATCGTTAATATAAACAGTTGTCTTACTGTAAGGACGTGACAGTTAGTATAAAGCTGTGATGTATGATAAAGAAAAGGTTTAAATGATGCAACTTTGAGTATAGCACGTTGAGAGATTTCTATCTTTTGTAGCACCGTTTTAGAGGCACCGCCCCACGTTGATATGTAGTATGTTATAATAGACTGACATAAAGCTAAGTAAACTCGTTTTAATATATCTGGATACAAAACGTGTCTTATAGTTTTAAAAATATATATTAATTTAAGAATCCTTTTGCTAAGTGTGTTAATATGTTGTTTAAAATTTAAATTACTATCTATTATAACCCCTAGATATTTAATATATTCAACAGACTCAAGTGAAAGGCAAGAACAGCTGTTATCTCTTGTTAAGCAATCATATGTGTTGTTCGTGTTTTGGTGTTATTCCGTTTTGTGTACCCAAATAAATAAATAAATAAATATGAATGAATCACTAAGTTAAAATTTTCAGGGTTGCGAATAGGTTTTTTTAATGAATAAACTATATATTTTGTTTTCGTAATATTTATTGAAAGTTTATTATTGTAAAACCAATTAGTAACTGCATTTATACCTATCTGTGCAGACGAGAATATGTCTTTCCACGTATGCGCAGCAAATATCAAAACAGTGTCATCTGCATGTGAAATTATATGTCCCTGAAAGAGATCAAATTTTGTAAAATTATCAATATAAATTAGAAATAAGGTTGGGCCGAGTATACTCCCTTGTGGTACGCCGTGTGTTACTAGTAAATCATTGCTGTTAATATTATTCACACTAACGCATTGATATCTCTCAGAAAGATAACTTTTAAATAATTTGAGTTGAGTGCATCTGATACCGACATTGTGTCGAATGCTTTCGCCAAATCGAAGAAAACTGAAATACACTTTTTTCCACTGTCTAAATACGATGAAAAAAAATTTGTAAGAGTATGAAGGGCATGCTCTGTTGATTTTCCATGTCTAAAACCAAACTGTGTATTTGAAAATAAATTATTTTTCTCCAGATATTTTGTAAGTCTATTATTTATAATTTTCTCTAAAATTTTGGATAAAGCGGGTAATATAGAGGTAGGTCTATAATTACTTACATAGGTTTTTTCACCATCTTTAAAAATAGGTCGAATTACGGACTTCTTAAAATATCTAGGGAATACACCATCATTTAAACATTGATTAAATATACAAGTTGTATATTTAATCAATGTTTAAATGATGGTGTACAAACAAATGGTGTAAGTACAAATGTTTAATAAATTTATTCGAGATTCCATCCCAACCAACTGAGCAGTCGGTTTTCAAATTGTCAATTAATTGTTTTACTTCACTTTCATCTGTGTCCAATAAAGCAAATGAATTTAAGTAATAGTTTGATTCTTTTTTTTTATAGAAGAAGAGGCAAACGAGCATGCGGCTCACCTGATGTTAAGTGACTACCGCCGCCCATGATCAACCGCAACACCAGGAGAATTGCGGGTGCGTTGCCGGCCCTTTAGAAAGGAGTAAGCTCTTTTCTTGAAGGTCCCCAGGTCGTATCGGTCCGGAAAAATCGCCGATGGTAAACTATTCCACAGAGAGGTTGTACGTGGAAGAAAACTCCTTGTGAAACGTACAGTGGTGGACCGCCAAGCATCCAGATGGTGTGGATGGTATCGGGACGTTTGACGTGTAGTGCGTTCACGAAATTTGGCGGCTGGGATTAATCCGAACAATTCCTCAGAGCACTCCCCGTGATAGATGCGATAAAATACGCAAAGAGATGCAACATCTCTTCGCAGCGCCAGTGAATCGAGCCGATCGGAAAGCACTCGGTCGTCGACGATTCGAGCCGCTCTGCGCTGGATGCGGTCAAGTGGAAGAAGCTGGTACTGGGGAGCCCCAGCCCAGAGATGGGAACAGTATTCCATGTGCGGCCGAACCTGCGCCTTGTAAAGTTGCAGGCGGTGTGCCGGCATGAAATACTGTCCCGCTCTGCTGAGCACGCCAAGCTTTTTAGAGGCCAATTTGGACTTCCTTTCCAAGTGACCATGAAACTGCACGTCACTCGATATGTCGACGCCGAGGATTCCGATACTGGCTGAGGCAACAAGGGGAGTGCCTTGAAACTGAGGGGATACGACAAAGGGGTTCTTTTTAGCGGTTAACGCGCAAACTTGTGTCTTCTGGGGGTTAAACTGGTATATATATATATAATATATATTTAATATTAATATAGGTTCTTCACCTATGTTAATATTAAAACTTTCACTATTATTATTTTCTACCTTAAAACTCTCTGACAAACTTTTACCTACATTTACAAAATAATTATTAATAAGGTTAATAGATATTTGCGGCGTGCTGGATATATTTAACAGTTCTCTGTTATACCCTTTGTTTTTCATGTTACCTAAAATATCAGTAAGTACTTCCCATAGCTTCTTATTATTATTTTTAGCCATATTCACTCGCTCTCGTTCATAATTTCTCTTTACCTTTTTTAACAATGCGTTACAGTGATTACAATATCGTCGGTATATAATTTGATAAATTTCACTATCTGGAAGTCGTCTAGCCCTCTTATGTAGTTTATCACGGTGACGAATACATCTAAGAAGGCCAGTCGTAATCCAAGGTTTGACGATCTTTTTTTGTCTTGGCACTTTACTAATTTAGTATTAACGTCAATTACTGTTTTTATTTTATTAACTAAGTATTCAAGAGAAGTATTTGGATCTTTAATATTATAAATAGGTAAAAAGTCAATGTTTTGCATATCCGAATTAAGTTTATCGTGATCTATTTTTCTGTTAGTAGTTGTATAAAACTGTTGACGTTGTTTATTTTTTATACATAAAATTACAGGTTTTTGATCAGTGATTGAAGTTTGAGGAACTATAGTAAGTGAAGGATTATTCGTTTTTAGCAGAACATGATTAATACACGAACCACTTGCGTCACGTGTTACTAGAGTATGAGTGGGTAATAACCCGTGGAATGCTGTCAGTTGTAAATACTTATCCGAATTAATATATGTTTTACTGTTAATGTTAATATTTATATCTCCTATTATAATTATGTTTTTATGTTTCGAATATTTCTATAGTACACTATCCAAATAAGGAAAAAAGTTTTCTAAGTTTTTATATGAAGGTGACCTATATATTGTGATTATAACAATATCCGTCATTTTGGTTGTTATTAAAATTATTGGAGCATAAATTATAACCATTAATTTTGGGTAAGTTGTCTTTATTAAGCAATCAGCATTCACTTAGTACAATGACCTAGTCAGTAATACTTCAAAATCTGTAAAATTGCAGTTAATACTTCGTATATTCTGCGTAATAATTGTGAAGTTGGATACACTAGGTGACAAATACTTATAACAATCTTCAACGTCACAGGCTATCGATCTTGATACCGTAACTTTATCTAAGTTAATAGTGAAGCTTAGAGCGTTATTATCGCCTTTTATTTATTACTTTAAATTTCCCGAACAAAATCTCGTTGTGACCACATCTTTTATTGGATAAATTGATTGAAAAAATGTAACTGTAAGTTGTATATATGAAATGAGTGAATATGATTTGTTATAAAATGTAAGTGTAATATAAAAGATGTAATTAAGGTGTGTGTACATAATGTTTGATTTTTGTTTATGTATTGTGTTTAAATTGTGACTATGTGTATTATAAGGTATAGTGTTAGAATATACTTTATTCTTATTATGCTACTTAAAAAGAAAATAAAGGATGCGAAAATATGTAATCTAAAACTTTAAACTAGTCATTCGGTCTTCCGTAGATTTTCTAAATCTGTTTCATTATTTATTCTAATTTGAGAAGAATTTTCATTCTTGCGTAAGTATGAAATGCCTCAATATGTCCAGCAGAATAAATATTTATGACTTTTTTGGAAAATTTTGGCCTGATAGAAAAGTTTTTGAGTATTCTGTGTTAACGTCTCCGTGACATATATAGGGTTGTTTTTTTTTTTGTGAGTAATTTAGATGCGAATTATTTAATTTCTCATTTTTTGGTTTTGTTTTATTAAATTATTTTACTTCATGTAACATCTTTTCTTTAATAATATCTGAATTAAATTCAATTATTATCGGATCCTGCAAATTTACATTCAAACACTCCCCTAATTTTTTAACACTGCTACATACATTTTCCTTTGATTCTTCGTTGTTTTTAGGTATGTTTCTTATTTCTGTTCCTGAAAATCTTGACTTTCTTTCCATATTTTCTATTTTATCCTGTAGTTGTTGTATAATATATCTATCCTGCTTTTTCCCTGCCTCTAGAACAGATATCTGTGATAGAAACTCATCATACTTGCTTGACATAGTATCGACACTCTTTTTTAATTCATCGTTCTGTTCTTTTATACTAGAAACCAAAGTTTGTAAATCTTTGAAAAGCTTTGCTTGTTCATTCGTATAAACTGAAAACATTTCACCCATATAAGACATAATGTTAGGATTCACTCCGTCATGTTTCCTTGTTTTACGCTCAGTAACATTTAACGTAAGCGATGGAATATCAGGCACCGATTCCCTGTGAAGTTCTGTCGTCCGTTCTATCGCGTCGATTGCACACGTTTGCGATGTCTGCGATTGTGATGTATCATCAGAGCTCATAGGCACGGGCAAGGCGGGCGGCGGTGTGCGGTTGATCGGCATTGTATAACCGGTTTTGAAATAAAAGACGCCTCAACGTTAAATTACCAGGACAATATGAGTTAGAAAGTCTGATCGCAGTATATTTGAAAACTCGTGCTCCTAATGCAACCGTACGAATAAAATATAACCGTCTCTCTTCTTATCGTTTTGCTAACGTGTGGTGTCTTTTGCTGTGTCCTATTTATTTGTTGATTATAAATGTAATAGTTTTACTCACACATATAATTTAGTTTGTTGAATATTTATCACTGCCGCAGATGTCACTTGCACTTCGTAAACTGCCTCGGGCTTTATGCGCTCCTAATATTTTATCACTATTTTGCCACATTTATTTAAAATACAAGTAATAAAATAAACTATAAACACGTCTTAACTCTTTGGAAGTCCGGGGGGAAGGATTTCCTCAAAGTAACGCTTTTAACTAGTTTTAGACTTATTAATTTCTTAACAAATTCACTCTTAAGACATCCACTTCCAAAACCACGTACTTTTCAGTTCATCTATTCATAAATAATTCACTTTGAAAAAATCTAAATATCAGAAGATGTGCTCACATCTTACTTAAATTGTAGTTTAATTTGTCTCAGCTTCACTCCCGAGTTTTGGCTCGGTAGACAATGGTTTTAAGAGCTCTATAAATTTATTAATTGAATCATAACATTCATTCCCCTGTAGTTTAGTTGTTAGTTAAACTTACTTCGAGAATTTATTAATCAAACCAAGAATTCGTCATGTTAAATATGTTTAACTACGCTACAATGTTTTTGACAGTCCACATTAAAATTATTGTTTTAACCAACTTGAAAAGTAAGCCCTGGAATGTATATGACTTATATATCACTAATTTTTGGTTATCTCTTTTCTAAAAGGTATATTATGTCAGTGATGTTATTAATTATGTTAACATTGTAGTCATATATAGAAGTTACATATTAAAGTCATAAATATGTATTATAATTACAATATAGTGATTTTCCATACCTCACTGAGTTGGTGATGTTGTTAATTTGAACCAGTGGCGCACAGCTGTGGGGAAGTGCTTGACTTCAATGACGACTTCAATGTAAACATAATTTAAATCTTTAAAATAGCATCTTTAGAACCACTTCAAATGCACTATGGCTTATCACCAACACTGAGATCAACGAAGCTTCGAGCATAAAAACTGTTAAACCCTCAGTTACCAGCTAAAATGATTGCCACCGCTCCCTCGCTTCACGTGGAGCGGCGTCGCTAAAAATAATTTAACCTTGAATTCGTCGTACATGTATTTTCAATAAAATTCATTATAAATTTCAATATAATACTTAGTTCTGTTTATTTATTATATTATATTATTAGATTAAGTGCTTTTACTTCATTACAAATATGTTTAGTTGTATTTTCATAGAAAAAAATATACTTTTTTATGTTGCAGGACAGCAGCTTGAATATCACAATTATTTTTCCCTATTCGAAATTATTTACGTAAAAAGATAACTTGTATTCACACAAAACTTTTATAACAATTTTATAGTAAAACACTATACTAATTACTAATAAAACATTAGAAAAATCAAAAAATCAATACAATAACACGCCACACGAAATAAGCGTCCGAAATGAATGTCGATTATAAATAAAAAACCATAGATATAGATAGAGGATAGGAAAATTCACATTGAGCCTATAATGCCAAACTTCTTCATAGAAAAGTAGTCTCTAAATATAAGTTTTTATGGGTTAAATTGATGTGGGTGGGTGCGGTCATATTTCACCGCTTGAATTTTGACGGAATATCGAAGCGGTCAAATTTGGCCGTTTGGTGTTTGTGAGGTTAAGCAGAAGTTAAAACTAACAGGAAATAAATATAAAACATGGATGGAAAATCACCCAAATGACTAGCCTACCGCGTTAGCCACTATCAGCTACACTAAACGACTGAAACGCTATGACATACAAAAACTAGGAGACGTATGTTGAAGGATTAATTATCCCTTCCCGCTTGGAAAAGGATCACAATATATTTATACAAAATACCCAATACAAGGCCTTCGCTCTCCTACATTTATTTAAAAAAATGTAGGGGAGCCGTGCGTGGTGAGCGCCAACAATTTTGATACACTCCCCCCGTAGGGAACGCTAAATCGGAAACTGGACCGTAGTCCACAGCAAAATAACTGGCGAACCAGAAAAAAGGCTTGGCCCCTTGTTAGTGCGTAAGCACAAACATCGACCGAAGTCGCGCACGTCAATGCGTGTAAACGCCATACAGATTATGAACGAATCCAGCCACAGTGAATGTACGTCACACAGTTCAGGCAAATAGGCTCACTGGCCGTAAACCCTCCGTGAGCGCCACCACCTGCCAGACCGCCGCACCTGCAGACGCGATGTAAGTGTATGGCATCACCACCAATTGCATGATCAGCACGGCTACTAGCCGCAGAGCGTGTCATGAGTCGACACATATGCTCCACCAACCAATACAACGTCAGATATAGCCAAAAGGCAGTTATAAAATATTAGTAATAATTTGCCATCAGAAAGGGTTTGTGTCACTGACGTTGAGTAAATGCATTTTCAATCATGTTTGTCTCACAAAACAACAAGTTGCCTTCAATCATTCAAAGGTGAGAAAGTTACAGAGATATATTATTATGTTGTTATATAAAACATCATGTCCGTTGTTGTACAAAACGTTCACATATATATTTTTTTCACCAATGTTACTTAAATTTAAGCGATTAGAAAATCGTTTAGTGAAAAATATTTAAGAGTATGTATTTCTTGAACACTTTCTTGTTTTTTTGTTTTATTAAAAAAGACCTATCTTTGAGTAGAATGACTATTCACGAATAACTTGATTTAAAAAAGTAGTTTACCCTGCAGGCCATCCTTGGAACTTACCGCTAATTTAAAATGCAAAGCTCTTCAAATTTCACCAAATTATGTTGCGAAATATCGAAATTATGTTAAAAACTTTTATTTTCAAATTCTTTCTCCTTCGATATCTCACGAACGAATGAACCGATTTTTATTTTCCAAACGGCATTTGACGCCATTTTTGGAGGTTAAGAGCTGATTCGTTTTTTAAATCGATCTGTAAAGCCGTTTAAAAGTTATACCAAAGAAAAAGTTTTTAAAAACTTTTATTTTTAAGATTTCTCAAAATCTACTTGTCTGAATCAGTTCATATTATCACTAAATATATTCCACATTGAGATCTTTAGAACGTTGCAAACCGTATCTCAATCGATCAAGACATAATGCAGGGATATGAGAGAGTACCTTCATTAAGTTTCAATCAGTGTATTAGGCTAATTATGGTTGCTTACTATTTTTTTATCTTTTTTAATAATATTAGAGTTTAAGCTGAAGTTCATAGTAATTAATAAAGTATTAATAGGAACCAGAGAGTGTGTATGAGATAAAGAGAGAGAAGGAGGAAGAGAAAAATTATCCCATGTAGAGCCAATATGAGTATAAAAGACAAATCGGTGATATTTTGATTAAAACTACTTTTACAGATTTTATCGCATTTAATTTTACTTTTTTTATTTAATTATTTTTATTTTTAATTCCCGACGTTTCGGGTGCTTTCCAACACCCATGGTCGCGGGGCACTGAGGTGACTGACGTCCCGATGTCATTGTTAAACCCGGAGTACCTTCAGCTTTTTTTAATTAACTATAATTATCAATAAACATTAACACTAATAGTGTTCGCGTAAATATAAGAAATCATTACGGCGAAGTTTTGTTTTAAAAACCATATCGCCTAAGCATTACATCAAATGTAAAGTTACGTAACTACATTCATACGTCACACTGGCTGGGCTTTCAGTTCCTAGAGAATTTGGTTCATGAAAGGGACCGAAGCTAAAGAGTGACCTAATGCGTATTGTTGGGCTTCACATATCTTCAAAATTTCACAATTATGCTTTAAGAAATTTTATTCTTATTTATTTATTATAATAATAAAGCCCCAGATGAATAAACTCTTGCCTCGAAGACGCCTAGTTTGTAATCAGACGGAAAGACAGATTTGATTTGAGCTTGAATTGGAATCCAGAAATCACTACTTAATAAATACATAATAACGACCACTAACCCATGCGGTTGATTATATAATATATTATACAATGTAATAAAGTCAATAAAAGACATTTTTATTATATATAAATATAAAAAATATACAAAGTAATGATAGAATTTTTTTAAATATTAGATTGCCTGTTATTATTTAGTTTTTCATTACATACATTTAAACAGTCTTATTAGAATAAATATTTAATAGAAAAGCTTAAAACAAGGATTACAGAACAAAAAATACACTAAGTATATAAATATTTCACTACATTATGAAAAATTCGCTTACTGTCCTAATGAAAAGCAAATAATAATAAAAACCCATACCGAAAGTATGAAATTTTGATTTGCGGCATTTCGTGGGACGCACGATGGGTGTTTGTTAAACCGAGCGTTGCGTTTTAAATGTTTCAGCACATGCGACTTAGCGTGAGAAGATTAAATCGGAACTGGCAACGATGTCAATTTATTGCAGGTTTCTCACCTGATTGTTTGCAAAATTCAGCAAAAAATTATATAAATGTGAAGCTTGAAACACTACGTTTCTAAACATATACATGAAATAGAATAAAGTGTCTGTATGTAATATTGAAATAACTGGCTTAACCTCTCACATGCTATTAAGAGTGGGCACATTCAAGGCCAGAGTAGGCTTTTATTGTCCTAAGGTGGTGCGATTTACCATCTAAGTATGCGTCATCACTTACCATCAAGTAGGAATGTGGTCAACCACTGGCTTATAAACAAATAAAAAAGAGAATTTCCCAGAAGAAGTACAATTGAACTATCTTATTTTTTATTTATTTGTTGTACTCGTATTCTTATCTTCTGTCATCAAAAGCCAATTCTGGAAATAACTAAGATGATTTTTAACAAATCCTTAATATATCATAGATATTGAAGTATCCTATATGGGATAGAGTTGGTATT